TCTGCAAGAAAATAACTAAGCTCAGAGAGCACCAAGGATCCCATAGTTATCCTCCTCTTCTTCCTCCTCCTTCTCCATTCAGCAAACCCCACACCCTTCTAATACTGATGTTGTTACCTAGCTGGGTAATGAAACGTCTGCAAGAAAATAATTTTTTTTCTTTACTAAACAGGGGGCTATCATGCGATGGGGGGGGGGGGTATTCTTTTCCTCCGTAATAAACCTTTACAGGTAGTTCTTGATTATTGCAGTTCCCAGGGTCATGTGCTCACCTTTTGCGACTTTCTGACAAGCAACATCAATGAGGAATCCAGATTCATTTAACAACCGTGTTTACTGACTTAAGACAGCAGGGTCCCAATATTTGGGGGGCTGCCACAGGAAGGGGGTGGGTGGGTCAAGCTCTTTTCCAAAGCACCAGGCAAGGAATCATGGATGGAAACTGAACAAGGAGAGATTCAACCTGGAAATAAGGAGGAATTTTCTGACAGGGAGAACAATCAACCCGTGGAACAGATGTTGCCTTCGGAAGTTGTGGGAGCTTCATCCCTGGAGGCTTTCAAGAAGAGACTGGACTGCCACCTGTCAGAAATGGTGTGGGGTCTCCTGCTTGGGTGGGTGGGGGTTGGACTAGATGACCTACAAGGTCCCTTCCAACTCTTAACTGCAGCAATTTATTTAAGAACTATGGCTCCAGTTAGGGAAAGTTGTGATTGGGTGGAAGAACCACTTGCTACAGTTAGTAAAAGAAGCCATGTCTCTCTCTCTCTCTCTCTCTCTCTCTCTCCCTCTCCCTCTCTCTTTCTTCTACCTACAGGCATTCAACAGGTACAGCTAGCCCAGACAGCATTATGAAGCTGAAATTTCAGGGATCTCCCTATCAGAGTCTTCGCCGAACCCTCTTGTGGGGCGAAAAAGTCGGCCGCAACCTCAGCCTCGATCTCTCCGGCGGCCATGTCATGAACAGCACCAACTACGTCCTCTACGAGAGCCACGTGGAGCAGCCGCTTCCTCTCGAACGCATTTCCCGTGGCCCCGATGGCCGCTTCGTGGTGCAGAGCGAGGAGGCGTCCCAAGAACACCAGAGCCCCTTCTCCCACCTGGAGAACGGCGAAAGCCCACCGGAGCCCTATCTCCAGGTCTTCTCCTCTCCCGAGGACGCTGGATGGCACCACGGCGTCCACCTGAGAGCCAAGAACACCAGCCAGGCCCAGCAGGACGCCAAGGCCTCCGGCCATCGCCAGGGACGTTATTTCGACTACAGCAGCAGCAGCCTGGCGGAGGAAGGCGAGCCCTTGCATATCGTCAACATCAGCCCGGTGGCCGCCACGTCATACGGCGCTGTCCCGGAGACCCTGTGGCTCCGGGACAACGCGGTGGCATCTTCTCCGTCGTCCTCGCCTCACCGTATGTCCAAAGCGACTTCTCCGTCCCCGAGAGTCCAGGCCGGCGCGAGTAATTCTGCTCAGAGTGGGATCCTCCAGTATCTGAGCTTGCCCTTCTTCAAAGAGATGAATGTGGACGGCGATTGGCCGCCGGAGGAGAACGAGAAGGAAGACGGACTCTCGGGGGAGACCGTCGACCACGAGCCCGGCCTGCTGGGCAGCCCCCGGAGGTCTTTTTTTCCAGACCAGGATAGGCCAGCTAGTCCGATCTACATGGACATGGAGGCTGATTTGAGCTCCGTTCAGGATCAGCTCGCGGAAACGTGCTTCCTCCGACTTCCGGATCCCGATACGGGCCCACCGAAGACCCCTTTGCCGGGGTCCCTGGCTTGCCCGCCGTACCTCTGTTCCAGGACGGAGAGCCCACCCCCGAAGGATCAAGGATGGTTATGCACGCTCCCGTCGTCCTCGCCCTCCTCCCAGCTCCTTCCGGATTGCCCCCAGGCTGAGCTCTCCTGCCTGGACTTCCCCTTGCCCGAGCTGCCCCCCGAGAAACACAAGTCGCCCGCCGCCAATTTCCCACAAGCCCTCCCCTTGGAGAAATTCCTGAGGGGCAGCCTGACCAGCCAAAGCAGCGGGCGGGGCAGTGGCTCTTTCCTAAGACCGCCGTCGTTGGCCACCTCCGTGGCGGGCAGCTACCTCAGCTCCCCCTTTGGAGACGCGCCCAGTTGCCGAAGCAGCTCCGTGGGAGAAGAGAACAGATCCAAAAAGGAGAATTTAGCAGCTGCGCTGGAGAAAAGGTGAGGTCGAATCCTGGGAGGGTCGCGAGGGTGAGCCTTTTGTAGGTATCCATTTTGTTTCGGATGGTCCTAAGGAGGAGGAGCACGGGGTTCAAGAAACAAAAACGTTAACAAGTTTCTAGTCCTTAAGACTGAGCCTCCCTCTTTAGGAACTCAGAGGCGACCTCTAGTGGGATTACAACCTCCCCTCTGTAAATTCAAGGCATTTTTTTCCAGAGCTAGGTTGTGCCCGGAGAGGGAATTATTCATTTAAGCTTTAATTAACTGGGTGTTGGCTGGCTTTGAACAAATCTTGGTTTAATCACAGAAGACGGGAGTCTGTCTGGTACTCGGCTGTTACGATCCAGGCCCAGAAGAGGAAGCAAATTCTCTTACGTTCTAAAATTGGAAGGCACGGTTACAGAAAACGTAGATTTTTTTTCCTTTTGTTATTATTTAGCTCCAGCCCTGAATTTTGGAAAGCGTTTTTGAGGAATTTCAGTCTGCTAAGTCGAAGTAGCAACATCCCTCAAATAATAGGCCTTGAAAAGAGGTTTGCAATTTTGCAATTTAACTCAGACACGCACACACACACACACCCAAATGACTGACTGGATCCAGCCAGGATGTGCAAAACACACACCTGTTCAGATTCCAGACAGCAGTTCACCCCTTACGCTGCGTTGCCTCAGAACTTTCCCCGTTTATTTCCGCCTCGCCTGGCGTGGTTGTGGGAACGCAACTTGCTTCAGTTTCCTTTTGAGTTTGGCTCAGATGCTAAACATTGATCCGGTTGTGTTTTGGGAGGTGTTGAGGGTCTTTGGAACGGGGAGAAGGGAAAAAAAAAAAAGTTATGCTTATCCCAAATTTTGGCTCTGACAGATGGAAAAGAATTGCTATTCCCAATGTATCCACGAGGTGGGGATGTTCCTTGCAAAGCATCTTTTCATTGAAAATTTGAGTGCCCCCAGATTCCATTCTGCAGTAGGTCCTCAACTTATGACAGTTTGTTTTAAGTTATGACGACACTGAGAAAAGCGTGACTTGGACGGCTCCTTGCATTCCAACCAGCGTAATGTCATCCACCCCACACCCCACCCCAATTGCAATCTGGGTACTTAGCAGCCAGCTCACATTTACGATGAGTTACCCATCTGGCTTTCATGCCTAAGGCGGAACTAGAAGTCACCGTCTCCTGGTGATTGGCCCAAGTCACCCAGCTACCTTTCATG